ATCTTAGCTTACCATCTCTCATTTATTTAATTGTCGAAACACCCAGTCTGCTTCCTTCCTTAGAAAAATACCAGGCATACGATGCATTTAAGTTGGAGCAGGCATTTGCCTGTTACGTGCTGATTTACTCTGTACATCCGGTGATTAACATAGTTATTTGTTGTAGAAAACTGGCAGTGGACGTAGTATATTACCGCCAAGATAATCTTCAGGGACTTAAATTGCCGAAGAAACACACATCGTCTTGGTTTTGTCTTTTTTTCTTCCAGATGTATTAGAAAATGACGGAAAACTTTAAACTATGGAAACGACTGTGGAAGACTTACAGGTACTGTCCATTCTAAAACATTTAGCCCCCTGTTGAGTATTGAATATTTAAATCTTTTTAGTATACTTAGACGGTAATCTAGTGAGTGAAAATTAAAGTACATAAATAACATCAGTGCTACAAGAATTTCATCGGCACGCGACAGTCTTAGAAAAGGTGGTTTCTAAGGAGAAAGCTAGAAAGTTGCACTACTTTGTGGTCTGTAGTCAGTTGCCACAATCAGAGTACACAACTACTTTTTGCCATTATGCAAGCGTAAGACCCGCAGTGTTTGGTTATCATTTACGTTGACATCGTGCATTGTTAGGTAAAGAAAGCTAATCAAGCTAGGTATAAAGCAAATCACTCGTCAACATGTTCAGTATACGTAAAGTAGAAAGTTAACTGATTATATTGAACTGCACTCTAAAACTCGAAGTAAGTCAATTGAACATATTCACATTCCCGATTCTTCGAATATCCTTGGGCTGATCAAGCTCTGAGATCCACAAAGAAAACTGTCAGTGGCGAAGTCTCTGTCAACATGACCTTGCGTTCTTTTCCGTGATAAATATGAGACAGAAGTATCTACTGCCATCTTAGTTTACTAGATATGAGTTACAACTTAATAAGCCAAGCCTATCTGCTCCCTACTGTGCTATAATCGTTCGCTCGAGGCAAACAGACGTTTTTTGTTGAAGTTTATATGTTACGATGTCGATTTTGATTTGATGCTGTTATTGATTCAGCGGGTTTTATAAAATTATAAAGTCTATATTTCAGTTATTTTCTTGAGTTACTTTTAAGCTCTTGTTCTGCTTGGGTACATGATCAGATCTCCACGATATGTTGCCCACGAACGATTTCAACCTAATGTGCCTTTGGTTATTAGCAACATACATACGTACGTACGTACTTTATTCGTTCCTAATGTATAATACAAACAGAAAATAATGAGTCTGGTGTACACCCAGTCACACATTTAAAAGCCATTTTTGCATCACGGTAGAAGAGCTGCTGTCTTTACTGGTAGCCACTGTAAAAGGGAAATATTTCCCTGTGTTGCTAACGATACGGGCCGCAAAATTTTGCACAGCTTGAATCCTATTCAGGTTGTGTTCAGAGCTGCTGCTCCAGATATTACAACAGTAATATAGCTTGCTGAAAACTAAAGCATTTTTTATAATGGTTAAAGCGTTCGTGTTGAAAGCGTGTTTAACTCAGCTGATCTGTCCTAGACGTGCCATGCAGCTGGACACTGTTAGACTGCTTGCAGTCCACCTTTTCTCTTAAAATCCGTCTAGTTCTTATCTCAGCCAGCACGATTGCAAACCAAAACGTTACGCCCTTGTTTATCGCAACTCGCGGCTTCGCTGCTCACGTACTCAGTGTTTTGCGTCAGTAACTCAGGGGAACCCAACGACGGTTTCGTCCTAAATGCATTGAAAACACTTTTTAGGCAGGTTATCCAGAGTACTTTAAGATCTCTAGAAAAGCATTTTAAGCGGCGCTGTAAAATTCTGTTCGGTCATCTTAGGGGAATTTAAGTCTTTTCGAAATTACCAGGGCTTGAGTATTGTTTTCCCGAAAATTTTAGATGAAATTTGACGTATTACGAAAGTGATACATTTTCTAATTCCTCTCTCTATCACATTTTTGAATCTGAAAATTTTGGGTTTCCTTTTTTTCTACGAAAAAAAGCCTAACTTGGGAAGTAAAATGCGAAAATTAAACTGCAGAAAATCGTAGGGAATTTATTAGATAATTAAGCTTCGAAAATTGTACATGAGTGGAACGGTCTAGAATTTTTAGCCGTCCTCAAGTAATAGAATATTCTAGGCAATATTTGCTTCTCCGAACAGATACAGATACAGTCGTTGGGTACCCCTGGTAACTTGGCAAAAAAAAAATAAGAGACTGCTCGCAGTCTAGGACACTGTTGAAGCAACGTGATCGTTATATGACAGGCTGGGATCCAAGACAACTCCCAAGTCCTTAGCAGAGGCGACTGGTTTAATTTCCTTTCCCAGTAAGTTTACACGTAGCCTGTGTACAGATGTCCTCCCTCCCTCAGAAAAAATCGGGAGGGAGGACGTCTGTACACAGGCTATCTGAGTGGAGTTCCACTTCTTATTGCCGCGCTGCTTAGGTGTCAAGCGTCGGTTCGCTGTCAAAATAGGAAGTTAGCTGGTCATGAGCGACTCTCTCACGAATCTTAGAAAGCACGGGCAACAATGAAATAGGTCTATAATTGTTAGGAATTTCCTGATCACTGTCTTTTAAAATTGGTGTCACTTCCGCAACTTTTCAAGCGAAGGGAAATTGGGCAGAGCGCAAAGTGGCGTTAATAATCGATTTAACTGAAGGCGAGATGGCAGGAAGGCAGTCTTTAATAACGCGGAGTGGGATTTTATCTTTTCCAGCGGACTTATTACGTGCCATGGATTTGACGATCTTTTCTACTTGGTTGATATTCACATTAGCATCAAAAAAGCAGGGGCACCCAACGAGGATATAGTTCAAAACCAGTTAACATAGCATTGTTGAACGTATTGTAGTCTTTAAACGGTAGATATAGGTATATTTTTATCCCCTAAAAACTTTTCATCTGTTCGCATTTCCTAGCTGAAAGTCTAGTGATCCGAAAATTATAGGGATCAAAACTTACCTTTTCGAAAATTTCAGCCAGGAAAAGGCTCCCGAAAAAATTCTAGGTGGCCTTTTTTAGGGTAAAAATCCGTTAACAATGGGTAATTATATCATTTTGTAGATGTTCGAAAATCCTAGGAGAGGCAGGCAAGCAAGTAATTTTACAACAAATGTTCCCGAAAATTCTAGATCTCAAATTGTCTTCCTAACAGATATTTTCCGAAAATTGCCGTTGGGTGCCCCTGAAAAAGAATTTTTCAGATACGGGTACTCCCGGTGGACAAACGAGCTAACGTGTGCTTCACACTGGAACTGCTCAGCCAGAGAGCTGATTTTCTGAATTGTGCTCTTACCGATGTTAGCAAAGAGATTATTAAATTCGTTGGCCACGATGTTTTATGTCCTTTGAGGAGATTTTTTTGGGATGCAACTGCGAATTGCTTTCCAGATGGTATTGGTGTTGTTTTTGTTATAGTTTAATTTGTTGTGCCAAAAATTCCTTTTCGGCCAAGCGAGTTTGCTGTTTTACCTCTTGGCAGAAGCTCTTGTAGTTAGATCAAGCCAGTGGTCTTTGGTTTGTTTAAAGTTACTTTTCCAGTCATCTCTTGTTGCCATAAGATCGCGAATCTCCTCGGTAAGATAGGGATTCGGTCGTTCACGCAGACGAATAGTTTTTAAGGTGCGTGTTCATCCAGTGTTTCATGAAACAATAAATATAAATCAAAGGCGTGAAGTTGATTATCGGAATCATCGAAGCTATCCAGAACTGACCAGGGTGCACAAATAATATCGTTCAAAAAACTCTCTGAAGAGCACAAAGTAATTTTTGAAGGTCCTGGTGATTACAAACGTAGCTGGGGTTCGCTGCTTTTTCAGCCTTAGTGTAACATAGTAAACATAGACAAGATCGTGGCCACTTATTGATGGCGATAGGACTTAAGCCTCCATGACTTACTTCGTGCTTGAAACAAGAATTATATCTATTAGAGAGATCTTTGAATCCGTTATGCGAGTTGGCTGAGTGATTATCTCGTTTAAATTGTGTGTAAGACAGAAATTCATATAAGCGCTTTAGAATCAGGTAGGACAGTCTGCAACAGGTTGCAGTTCATATCCCCAAGAAATAGATTGGCGATCAATTCTATAAACATCATAGCCAGTATTTCGACTTCCAGGTTGGATACAGTATGGTCCAAGCACGTCTCGGAGATTGTAAACACGTCGGAGTTATTGGAGGTAACGGTGTCCTTTACCTGAATAAAGTGTTCTCTATTCTTAAGCGAGCGTACACTGAGGTGTGCGATTTGAATCTGGTACGTGTACCGAAGATAGCGGAGTAATTCTCCAGGCTATTCCACCGTGGGTAAAATTGTGATAGACTCCAATAGAAAGTAAAAAGGTCTACGCCAAAAGCAAACGAGGTTCGATAGAACTTGAGACACGCAAGTAGATATCTAGTAACTGACAGAATCGAGGGTTGCAGATGTGTAAACCGAACGTGAACAGCCAAACAACTTTATTCTAAACAAAAACCATTGGCCGACGTCGTGGAAATGCTGTACCGTTCTCATTAGTTTCGGGCTGACCATAGGGCTTTCATCCTCCCTGCAGGCATTTCAATCACGAGAAGAGTCATTTCTTAGTAATAAAATAAGTTCACCTATAATAATGGAGAACGACAAAGACATTGCTACGTTCTTGCTCTCTAAAACCTGAATCACCATCCTTGTGTCACTACTGCTGCACAATATGCCGGCCTTTCATACGCAGCCAGAAGCTAGAGCCCGCTAAATGACCTCACCCGTCCTCGTTCCCAAGGAGGCAAATGGTCCTGGGCCGAGTACTAGGTCGTACCAGCAACACTATTGTGTTATGAGTTTCTGCTCATACTGTGTCGCTAAAGGGAGCCCATATAATGTGCTTGCATCACTCTCTATTTTAATGATGCTAACACCTTCTGTTTAGACCATGTCTGACAAACCACATGGTATCACTCGGTATGGCTGTAAGCAGGTAATCGGCTCCTGCTACATGCCCATACGCAACGGAGAGGTGCAGCTACATTAGGAAAACACTGGAAGCCTTTATCCTGACAATTGGAAAAGAATGGAAAACTGACCCCATACGAGCACCTTGTTAGTTCTTCCACTCTCTTTTTTGGCGTCTCGCTCGGTCTCGGTTCCATTTCAGTTTCCTGTTATTGCTTAGTATCAGGTATACTGGCGGGGCTGCAAGAAATTTTTAATTTGTCGGCAAGAAATTGTTTTAATCACCAAGCAACTGGTACCTGTGATATCTGGGGAACCACAGGGTTCCCTTTTGGGCGCACTACTTTTCCTGGTGTACGCAAATGACATGCCTAGATACATTCAGTATGGGTCTAGCATTGCCCTTTTCACAGACGACAGCAAGCTCTTCCGCCCTACTGACTGTAAATTCTGCCGTCTCACTGTTGCCGGACCTGGACTGTTTACATTACTGGAGCACTGATCATGGCATTAAGTTCAACACCGCCAAATGTTAAGTCTGACTTACATATGACCAGGCAGAAAGAGATCTTGTCGACGACCCGAACACAGCTTGCAGCTCTCTGGCCACAACTTGGCGTCTGTCACTGAAGTCTCCGACCTTCATGAGGTGGCTGTGACTGATCAATTGTCTTCGGCCACTAAGGGCAACAGAGTTCCCGGTCTAGTGAAGCGCGTATGCGATCATAACATAAAATAACATGACTTTACTTAAGTGTCGTTTTGTTTAGCTAATACAAGCCAGTTGGGGACACCAAGTTAATTATATTAAATCTGGGTGTATGCAAATCTTTATTTCTTAAGTGATACTTGGATAACTTAAGGTGGCTCCCGTCGTAATACAGGCGCATTAAGTAATGAACGAACTTTTCGTCATAACTTTTTGGTTGTTAACTCGATGGCTCCGAAACTTTGCAAAGAACAACAGATATCATTCGGCAATAATGTGAAGTATTCCGATTTCATTGCTGGTGATATTTTTTTGCGAAATGAGCACTAAAAATTACTTTACTTTTTAAAAAAATAATATCTAGTGAAAAATTTTGCTGATATATTTTACTGTTATGTCTGGTATTGGCTTTTGTCGATATAATAAATATGCCAGAGAAATTTCAGACAAATCATTGGAACAGAAGCCCGCAACAAAAAGTCGCTCAAAATCTAGCTGTGAAATTGTTTTGTTATTTCAAAAATAAATTGCTCTGAGGTAGAAAGAACCACCAGGGCGAATTTTCGGGGCCAGTAATTCCAGTGTTTGCTTATTCTTAAAACAAAAAAGCCGATAGGGATGAACACGCCATCCTCTTGTTTAATATAAAAGCCAAAATTCTACCGGTCCCCTTCTTATGTTACAAAGCGGTATGCGATTTAATATTCAGTATCAACAACAATACCGCACCGATTAAAGGGACTGTGTCACGACAGTGCGCATGTGTGAGCTGTGACAGTAGCTGATTGTCTTTGAACCAATCGGAAGCGAGTAAGATGCACGCGAGGAAATGTCATCATTTCTCGAGAACTCCAAGTATCCATACCTACGCTACTCGCTCCTCAGCTTATCAACATTTTAGCGTTAAGAATTTCAGACTTATAGCGGGATGTTTCTAGAACATTTAATTTATGTACAAAAAAAGGCTTTCTCGCGTGTTGTCGTCAAAACCTGGAATGAGATCTCTAATGACTTAAAAAGGTTATCTAAAAAGGCCGGCCTTCACAAAAAAAATTGAAATTGCACTATTTGATATGCTAAAAGCACAAGAATTATATGTTAAATTTCATGACATAACGAGGGACTGGCAAAATAACAACAACAACAAGTTTATTTCAAATTAAATATAGCTTACAAAGCTTGTGCCCGCAATAAGCGAAGGCTATTCGAGGCGGGTACAAGAGAAAAAGGAAAATTGTATAAATATACATATATATATATGTTAAACGAACAATCCTAGAAGCAATCTAGTTTGTCGTGTGGTTTATAGCCAGAGTGAGACAGGAAGGCAGACTGTACTTCATACGGAAACACACCATGTTACGATTTTGAGAATTGCCCAGTAATATCAGAAACTCTAATATAGTCGTCCTCTTTTTCCAGTCTTTCAAAGAGTTTTCTCTTTAGTTCGCTTTTGAATTGATTTTTTTAAAGTGTTTTCATAGAAAGTGGAATACTGTTCCAAATTAAATTATTGGTTCGCTATAGCGAGGTTTCGTTATATCGAGGTTCTTTTTCAAGTATATTCTGCTGTTACTGGGGTAAAGGAAATCATTCGTTATACCGAGGACTTCGTTATATAGAAGTTCGTTATATCGAGGTTCCATTGTATTGGGTCTTAGGCGTTCCCGTTGCCGCTGTTGCTGCACGAGCTGACACAGTCAGTAAAAGTCATGGTTCGCTCCAGCCTAGTCCCCAGGCGTTTTCGGCTCGGTCATTCCTGAACTCTACCACGAGCTGAGCTGTGACGTCAACGAGAGATGCTCGCCCGCTTTCTCCCAGACTTCGCGCGGACAACAGATCACGAGAGAACGCCTAGGAACCAGGCTGGGATCGCTCTACAGTGGAACCTCTCCTCAGAGACACCTCTATTCAAAGGACACCTCCTTTCAGGGGACACAAAATTTGGTCCCGGAAAAACGCTCACATAATCTTTTTATTTGTTACCTCTATTGAAGGGACACCTCTATTCAGGGGAAAGGGACACTTTTTCTGTTACCGAATTAAACCCGGTTTAACCTCTTTTCAGGGACACCTTAGTACCGGACTCATCACAACAACAATAACTGAACAATCTTTATTTGTACTTGCTCTCTTGCTGAACAATACATTAAGACTATGAAAATATTAAAAATAAAATTAGTGTACTGGTTATCTGGAATAACCATAGGGGCTAGCGGAGCTAGGTAGCCAGTTGACATCAGTTTTAAATAGAAATAAAGTACAGGTCAGCAGGATAAGTGAAGCACAAATAAAAAAAGAGAGAGAAGAGGAAAAACGCTATTTCTTCGCTGTTAAGGAAGTCTGACATAGTTAAGTTTATATATGAATACAAAACATTAATAGGAGAAGAGCACACAATAGCTATGACAACTAAAAGTCTTAAGACTTGGAAAGGTGACAGACTTAAACAAAATACGTATTTACAGGTAATTTGGGAAGCAACACAACTGCCGATAAGAATTCGTGTAACTCATAATCTTTGACAAGATTGCTTTTTACTGATTCCTTGGATTTTGAAACATAGACGGTTTTAACCGAAATTTTCACTTTAAAGCTTTTTAAACTGGTTTCAGATGATCCAGGAGCTCAGCTTTAGCCTCTTGTTCTCATTCTGAACCAGTTTTGTCATCCATTTTTCGTAGGTTGACATTTTTGTTAGTAGTTGGTCATAATTAGAGTTTGCAGTGGCGATAGACTTCCTCACTTCGTCAATCGATAACGGTAGAGGCTCTAAGCCTTCTCCAATAAATTCTTGAATTCTGCTGTCGTTAGACCTCCCAGAAAGGTGCGTAGATGAATTAAGACAATACGTAAAACGAAATAAGAAGCAATTAAAATAGAAAACGCAGCTTTGATAAGCTAAATCAGATTCACTGTAAATTGACGGAGTTAAAAAAAAACGCCATCTGTCCCGCTGACCGCTGACCATGAAAAAAAAAACACAAAAACGGGTTGATAATATTTATTGTTCACCTAGTCAAAATGGCTACAGCTTTTAAAAGATTATCGGGGGTGGAAGCTGAATAATGAATAATGAATAACGGGGCTTAAAAGAAAATGAATAATGAATATTTGGAGTAAATAACACTGTCTAGCCTCGGAATAATGAATAATCCATAGCTGTTGAATGACCCCATGGAAACGGAAGACGAAAGAAATATTTTCAACTTTTCTGCCCATCGCAAACATTCAGGAATCCACGCGAAACCCGTGAAATCCAAAACAAAGCGGCAAACAGCTCGCGGTCTACGCTAAGATAAAACAAATGCGTATTTCACTCTCGTCAAAAATACCATACCCTACTGTGGATCGTGTTCGTTTTCAGATTGCCACCGACGACACTGGTTTGAAATTGTAGAAATTTCCCCAAGAAGAAGCTGACAGAATCGAACGCCTTCTCAAAGGTGGGCTCCAGTTCACGATCTAACCACGCCTATTGTATTAAGCTCGCGCCATAAATGTTGATTTTTACAACTCCTCGCAGTTTGCAGCCCCTCCCGTAACCATTTCAGTAAACAGAATTACTTTGGTCATATTTGAATGAAGACTTATTATACTTCCGTTTTTCGAAAGTCTTGCTTTCTTGCGGAAAGATTTTCCAACAGTTCCTGTAAAACTGTTTAAACAGTGTCGTATCAGTTGATTCTTCCATTACCACGCTACATTACTGACACAAAGTTGACGCAACGTTTAAACTGGTTTAACAGAAACCTGAAACAATTTTAGAGTGCAGGGATGTCACACGACCTCAACATCGGCTCTAGTTAATTGTTAGCGAATGGCTGAACAAATGTTGATTTTGTTTTACAGAGAGGCTTAAAATGAAACTATGAATAAAAGCCTGTCCCCTAATAATCAAGACATTTCATTCTATTACCTATACTTATAGATGCATGCAAGTATTGTCTAAAACGTTGCACTCTAAGAATCTCCCATTGTAATGTTCGATAGAGGATTTGTAATCTCGGCGATTGGACAGTTTGGAAATTAATTAATTCATGTCTCAGCGTCAAGTTTCAAATGAAATCTGGACCTGTCAAGAGACAGATCCTAGGAGGCTCAGTATAGCCAGTATAGTAGGTCCCGTGCAAGCAAGCAGCCTATCCTGCCCGACTTGTGAACCAAATCGTACGTACAGATTTATTGTTCAAAAATTAAAGTTCGTTCCAGTTATAATTATTAGTTAGTTATTGTTTTTTAGTAGTTATTAGGTTATTAAGCTGCTGCTGTTAGGTCCTTGTTCACGGTCTAGTAATTGCATAGACGGTCTATTCAGTGATCGAAAAGGATAACATTATTTTGACCACATGTATAGAAAAATTAGAAAGGTACTTGCTAAAGATAAAATTGAATGTATACTGAAATGTAAACTTTTGATAACCAAAGTATAGAATTTAGAAAATTTCGCTTAAAATAATGCACTAGTGAATTGCCCAACCCCCGACCGCCGGGATAGGGCGGGGAATTAACGCGTCAATGCCGGGAATTTAACGCGTATTTAACAGCGTGAAGTCGCCGGGGAGCGAGTAATTTAACACCTACCTCCAAATAGCGGGGCATTTTAGCGGGGATTTTAACATTACACCGGAACGTATACACTTTGCCTATTTGGTCTGCAATCGGGTATGGTTTTCTAGGGAACTACGGGAGTGTATTAACATATTTCATGGACCTCTTTACCGATACGGCGGCCATATTGAATTAATTCGATTTAATGAGTATTATGGGATGCCCAGGGGGCATGAGCACGATCCGGTTTCTCGCTTAGAACTAGTTTTTTTATGGTCTTTCACTGTTTATTTCTCGGGAAAAAGGCGATCATTATTACATCCAAACAGGGCGCAACGATCAAGTCCGTCCTCGAGAAACCTTGCTCCCGTTGATACGTTTCGCTAAATTAAATAAGCCCCCCTTTCTATCAAGCCCCCCTCAAAAGTGCTTGAAAAAATAACCCGCCCGGGGGGGCTTAATAGAGGATTCAGTACGGTATTACTGTAGAATCCCGATTTCTGGAACCCTCGGTTTCTCGAACCTCCCGATAATTCGAACCATTTTCTTTTCCCCAGAAGAATCTAAAAATTGAATTTCAACTGTACTTGAATTTTGTTAGAATCGATAACGATTTGTTGGTCACTTTGGAATTATTTAGGAAGTGTTAGATGATTAGGAACGCTGTACAACTAACAGCTTGTGTCAAAAAAGCATAGCAGTCCTCATTTTTAAAGTTCATCAAGGCAGAGCACCATCGTAGTTTCCTTCAAACCGGTGTACGTTCGAATGAAAATTATATGAATGATGAGTACTTTAATCTATAATCTACTTGGTAAACTATTTTTAAAAGACCATAAACTGATTTTTGTTAACTGGATAAATCAGCCGATAAAAATTGGGGCCTTGATAAGCGACCGAGGATATGGTAGCCGGGTTTTTAACAATGATTCCCCGGTCACCGGGGAAAATGACAAAATTTAAAACATCGCAAATGTTAAATCCCCCGCCCTATCCAGGGTGTCGGGGGGTAGGGGTTCCAATTGACTAGTGCGTAAGTAGTAAACATACAGCTATTTCGAGAAAGATGTGCACGCGACATCCCGAAAGGTAATATGGGATATAATCAATTACTTTTGTTTCTTTCCTTTAGCACTCGCAAACATACGTCCATAGTCGTCCATGGCCTCTCGTGCCATTCTTTCAAATTTATTCGAACAACAATGAAATCAAAACCACCAACAATACTTTTCGGGATTGTCGCTTACTACATGAGAAATTTCAGCATGATTTGTAAGTGATATTTGGCATAAATACGACTCGTGATATTTCAAAATTGTCGCAAATTTCATTCGCCTAACGGCGAATTACTATAACAATTTCGAAATATCTGAAATATCACTCGTGGTATTTATGCCAAATATCACTACAAATCATGCTATTACCTACCCCGATCCCAGAAGGTAGCCTGAAATTCATCCGATTGCAAGGGAGTAATAACGACTCGAAGTAATCGGATGAAATTCAGGCTACCCATACAGGTGTACAACAGGGAATTCTAGATCTCAAATTTATTTAAGGGAAAATTAGGAGACCTAAATTTCGATTGTCAAATGATTTAATTAGCGATATACTGTTTATACACACGGCCTCCTTGAAAAGCAGGTGTTTTCTTTTCATCTTTATTATTTTAGTTTTTATCTTAGATTCTAGATTAGTTAGGTACTTAGTTTTCTATTCTTGAATGTAAATGTACCTGAGGTTAGAAATATGACATATAGTACTATGTACTATGTATACAGCTATTTCGAGAAAGGTTGTGGGAAGAAATGTGCCCGCGACAATCCCGAAAGGTAATATGCGATATGATCAATACACTGTTCCTGACACTGTAGCTGTCGAACCTACTTTTGTTGCTTTCGTTTAGCACTCGCAAACATACGTCCATGGCCTCTCGTGTCATTCTTTCAATCTTCTTTGCAAAACAGTGATTCAAAACCACCCACAATACCTTTCGGGATTGTCGCGTGCACTTTTTCCGACAACCTTTCTGGAAAAAGCTGTATATGTAACACAGGAAAAAATAACGGATTCCCATTTTTGGATATTTTAGGGTATTTAAAGAATACCCATAAAAATCCCAAATTTGGCAAAGTGAGACAAGTCCCAACCAGGGAATTCCCAACTAAGTTCCCAGATTGGGACTTGTCTCACTATTCCAAATTTGGGATTTTTGTGGGTATTCTCATGGGTCAAAACAGAGGTTAGGCCATGGGCTTCTCGCTTACACAGGAAAAAATAACCGATTCCCATTTTT